AGATGCCTTCCATCCTTCCCTGTTGGCCCAGTCTCTCTCGGTGACTCTGAAGCACAGGACAGGTGCAGGAGGGTGTAGACGAGATGACGGTGGGGTCTGGTATAGAGGATGTCCTCAGGCTTGCTCTGCGGAGCCCATGTAGCTTAGTGCCTGGCAGCTTAGGATCTGGGGTCGGGCAAGCCTGGGCTCCATTTCCTTCCAAGTTACAGAAACTATGAGCAAGTTGTTAACCTCTCCAAGCCTCCTATATATACAGATGATATTAGTGATGCACCTTATGGAGCTACTGTTATTGTCATGATGAAATGAACCATGCGAATGCATAGTGCTGGCACATAATAAGGTGAATTACAGTCACACATTTGCAGGCTCCTTGGTTTTAGCCTAACACGAACTACTTTACTACAGCCCTTAAGAAATCCAGACACACCCTGCCTCTTCCAAGTAGAGAAAACACAGGTGGCCCTGTGTTTAGAGGTTTAGAGGTTCCACTTGCTTGATTCAAACATGGTGCTGGTTGTCCTGGCTTCGGTATCTCTTTCCCTGTAGAGGAGACATCTGTGGTAGGGCCAGGGCCTCGTTCCTCTGTCCTCGCAGCTGGGCCTCCCATATCACTGACTGGAGGTTGGTGGTGTGCAGAGAACCAGCCTCTGATGCAGCCCTACCTACAGAAAACCTGATGTTTTGATATTTACTGAAGGGTGTGCCTTTTTCTTCAGTTGGTTCTGGATTCTGAAAGGGAGTGGTATTATTAATTAACTTCTAAGTCCTCAAAGTGGTATTTCTAAGACTGAAAGTAGCTATCTCAGAATCCCACGATATGGACTTTATCCCACACTCTTTATCATGACCATGGGCTTGTAGAATATTGAGGTCAAAAGGATCCTCAGACATGCCTTTAGCCCAGTGTATCCCTACAGATTGGCAAACTGTAGCTTCTCCACCAGGGCTCCAGGATCAGAGGAGAGAGCAGGGGCAGAGCTGTGGGCATTAGCTGTCCTGAAGACCTAAGGCTGGGAAGCAGCGATCTGGTGCCACCTTAGCACTTAGTGGGCATCGTAAGGGTCTTGGGAGCAAGCAAGAGACCCCAGTTCTGAGAAAGGAATGTGTCGGGGCTGGGCATGGTGGCTCATGCCTGTAATCCCAGCACTTTGGGAGGCTGAGGTGGGCAGATCACTTGAGGTCAGGAGTTTGAGACCAGCCCGACCAACACAGTGAAATCCCATCTCTACTGAAAATATAAAAAATTAGCCAGCTGTGGTGGTGAACCACCTGTAGTCCCAGTGCCTGGGGAGGCTGAGGCAGGAGGATCACTTGAACCTGGGAGGTGGAGGTTGCAGTGAGCTGAGATTGCGCCATTGCACTCCAGCCTGGGTGACGGAGTGACACTCCATCTCAAAAAAAAAAAAAAAAAAAAGGAATGTGTCGAGATGCTCTTGGGGGAGGGACACATAGGATTCATTGGTGGCCAGGTGCGCAGTCGGGGACGGGCAGGAAGCATGGCACCACCGCATGGCCAGAGCAGCTGGCCCTCTGTAGCTTCTGGGCTGGAGCCACCTCCAAGCTTCCTTTTGTCCCTTGCTCAGATTGCGAGAGTGTCTGGCTGGTGTGGGTTCTCTGTCTACTCCTGGCTGCCCTAATCTCTGGTCCCTTCAGCTTTCTGCTTTCTGGTTCCCTGAATATTGTACCTGGAATTGTTCTCTCACCAAAACCGCAAATGTAAGAGAAAGACAATTCTAAACAAAAAAAGAAAGAAAAAAGGCAAAGGTCTCGTTAGGGAGGGACATGGCTGCTGGGTTGGCAGGCGTCACCAGCTGACTCCTGTCTCAGGGTGGCCGGACACAGTAGCTGGAGCACCGTGTGATGAGGAAGGAAGTGCTGGAGCCGTGGGAGGACAGAGCTGGGAAGTGCAGCTCATTTGGTTGGGGAAGGCCTGTACAGGAGGCTGCCAGAGGACCAGGAGGCTGGGGTCCAGCCAGGGGTGGTGGTGGAGAGGCGGGAGGGAAGAGGGTTCTGGACATGTGTGAGGCTGGAGGTGAGACCGTGTGTGGCTGTTAGAGATGAGAAGTGGGGGAGAGGCTCACGTGGGGCCCCACAGAGCGGGAGGGCAGGACGGGCTGGAGCCCACACCTCTGCTGCCAGCCCCATGCCACCATGCCGCCTCTGTTGCTGCCGAAAGGAGTCAGTTGAGGGGTTTGCTGAGCGTAAGAGAAGTTTCTTCTCAGGTCACAATTAAGAGGAGCTGCAAGGGCGTGGGGCCTCCGTGAGAAACAGTTACAGGGTCAGCAATGGAGATCGTGGACACGACCCTGATGCAGGAAGCGTGTGGAAGGAAAGAGAGGGCGATAGCGGAGAGAATGGGAGCGCCCAGGCGGTGGCTGGTGTCTGCAGTGAGCGAGTACAGTAGGAGGAAGTGGTTGGTCAGATAAAAATACAGCAAAACATTCATGGTTTCTGAAAAATGAGGCCGGACGCCAAACCAGAGGCAGTGGGGAGAGGGGAAGGGCAGAGAGGGCTGCTGGCTCCCTCCCCGCAGTGGGGTGTCTGGAAAGTCCAGTAGATCAGAATGCCTCTCGTCTGCCCACAGGGCACATTGTTCTCAGTGACACCCAGGAGGGGCCTCATTAGTGGAAAATGTGAGTTGTCACTTTGAGAGGGAGGTGGGACTTGCCCTGGTGTCACACTGGGTGGACAGGGCTCCTGTCACTCACTCTGCTCTGAGCAAGGCTTTTTGGTGTCTGGGCCCCTTGCGTCTGAGCTCCCCAGCATTGGCTGCCCTTGGGGGTGGAAAAGTGTGTCTGCCCAAGTCACCGGCACAGGCAGGTACGGAACAGCTTGGCTCCCACGCCAGCGAAGAGCTGCCTTGCGTGATATGGAAGAGGAAGACAGCATCGGGGGCAGAAGAGAACATTTCCTGGAAAAATAGGCCATCCGAGGTGGCTGCAGCAGTGGAGGGAGAGCTTTTCAGAAAGGAGGGACCCGTGAGCAGAGGCATGGAGGCAGGAAGTCAGGCCATGCCTCCCTCCTGATGCCTGCTCTCCAGCCACGGAGGCCAGATGCCATTGTCATATGTTACGATTGCACCGTGTCCATGTTCTACCCACTTATTATGACTACTTTTTAATTTAAACTGCCTTTTAAAAACTTTACTTAAATGGAAGGTTAGCTCCTCGCTGAGCATGGCGCGTTAGTGTCACTGCCCTGGGCTTTGTTCTCGGCTTTTCTGGGTGCCCACAGTCTGATCCTCTGATAGAGCTCACTGGCCTGGGTTGTCCTTGACTCTTTCACACGGCCACGTCCTCCATTTTCACCAGCGTGATCTTCTGTTTTTTTTTTAAACTTTATTAATCTTGAGTTGTATGGGTAGCTTAGAAATGCCTCCATCTATAAGAAATCAAACATAGACACACAGCGTGAGTGCGCTGTGATGACCCCCGTTTAGTCCCTTCCTGGCAATGGCCTTGGTCGTCAGTCCAGTGGGCAACCTGCGGGGCCTTTTCCTGTGGGACTGTTTCATTGGTTCTGTTTTTGTTTCACACATAAATGTATCAGATTGTCTGTTTTTTCTTGCAGTTTTTTTTTTTTCAGAATGATTTTCTAAGGCATGAATCTTTTGAAATTATTTATTTTAATACATAAAAACAGTGAAAACAGTAATACATACTCTTGCTTTAAAAAGTTTTGCAGCACAAGCTCATTCCTGTAATCCCAGCATTTTGGGAGACCAAGGTGGGTGGATCACCTGAGGTTAGGAGCTCGAGACCAGCCTGGCCAACATGGTAAAACCCCATCTCTACTAAAAATACAAAAATTAGCTGAGCGTGGTGGTGGGCGCCTGTAATCTCAACTCCTCGGGAGGCTAAGGCCGGTGAATTGCTTGAACCCGGAGGTGGAGGTTGCAGTGAGCCAAGATTGCGCTACTGCACTCCGGCCTGGGCGAGAGTGAGACTGTCTCAAAAGACATGACTGTCTCACAGCATGAGAGGTACACAGCGCTGGACATGTCCTTCCACTGCTTCCAGTGCTCAGAGGCTTCCTGGTGCTGCAGGAGAAAGGCCCTGCTGTCCCTGGCCACAGGCCCTGTGTGATCTGGCTCCCTTCCCCACCGCAGCCTTTCTGCCCCCCTTCCTTCCCTGACTGATCAGTGTCCATTCAGCTGAGCCCCCGGCCATACTGTGGGTGCCCCCTCCTCAGACTGATGGACCTGGATGGTGGCCCCTGGGCTGTGAACGTCCTGCTGGCAGGGCCAGGGGAGGTGGGTGACAGTGAGGTCAAAGTCCCGGCCTTGTACAACTCTGGGTGAGTCAGTTCACCTCTGTGCGTCTCAGCCTCTTTCCCTGTGCCCAGAGGGCTGCTGGAGGGTGGATTCATGATGACAAAGGGTGCCCGGGACAGGGCCTCTCCATGCTGAGGGCTTGCTGCCAGCTGCCCTTCTCACCCCGGTTGTTGTTATTCTTACTGTTCCAGCCCAGGACCCAGCACAAGCCTGGCATGTAAGTGAGGATAAGCGGACATTGAACAAAAAAAGAAAGGAATAAAGCTCCACCTAAGACGTGTGGGGACGCAAAGGGACAGAGGCCTCTCGCGGGGCACTGGGGACGAGGTAGAAGGGCTGAGATGGGATGGGATGTGCGTGCAGTGGGAGCTTAGTGCACGCTCTGAGCATGTCATTGAGTGATACGCTGAAGGTGCTGATCCGGACTCTCATCGGGAGGCAGCGAGCAAAGACAGGAAGCCGGCGGCAGCCTCCGTGGTTGCAGATAGCATCTCCCCGGCCCTCCTGCCTCACAACGCCCTCCATCTGTTGTCTGTTTGTCTTCCAAGTACTCCAGGAAGAAAGAAGCCACGCGGCACTGGCATCCACCCAAGAGGCTGCAGCCTCCGCCCGTGTCTGGGGTTGCTGTCCCCTGTGTTGAGATGGGATGGAATGATTCAAGCAAGCTACGTTTTTTTGATGAGGCCACCCCGTCACCCCCCTTTTTTGGTCTGTTTATTTCCAGGCAATGCCACTGTAGATAAGTTGGAGGACTTCATCAACAACATTAACAGTGTCTTGGAGTCCTTGTATATTGAGATAAAGAGAGGAGTCACGGAAGATGACGGGAGACCCATTTATGCGTTGGTGAGTGCCCAGCAGAGCCCTCTAGTGGCGTTTTTGAGGAGCTGGAACAGGGCCCAGGCAGCCTGTGTTTGCTTTGGTTTGATTTCTTTTTTGGACAGTTCTTTGTAAAGAAGTCACTCCAAATGTATGGAATATTAGGAATAAAGGGAGAAATGGTTTTTTATTTAGAATAAGACGTAGAAGCGATGAAAAGAAACAGTGTGTAGGAGTGTTAAGGATTGCGACCCACGTGGGGTCTTCCGTGGTTTTCAGATTTACTCTCACAGGTAGGGATCAGGGTGAAACACAGGAGTGGGAAGCTGACATGCCCCATCCCTGGCTAGGAGACACCTCGGGCTGGTCAGAGGACATCTGGCTGCTCCCAGCCAGGCTCACACTCAGAAAGGAGCACTCTAGGCCAGGGTTTCCCAAACTCAATTCCCTGGAAAAAACATTACACAGGCAAAGAACTATGGAAATGCTGGTCAGACGCGGCAAAGCAGATTTCCTTGCTCTTGGACTTCTCAGTGCCTTTTGCATTTGAAGCTCCATTAACATGTAGACAAATCTCCCAAATTTATCTGAGTTTGGAAAATACTGCACACCCTCTGGAGTTCTGAAACTTCTGAGGGTCCAGCATGTTGACTGAGCTAAAGAATAAAGTCTGTAGTATATGCCTGGTTACAGATCCATCCTGCGGCTCGCAGTGCCTGGATACAGGAGCTCAGTGACTGGCCAGAGACGGAGGAGGGGAGGGAGGGAGAGCCAGCGACACGTTAACCAACATGCGAAGGGCACAGCCTGACTGTTGCACTGACTTATTTCTTAGGTGAATCTTGCTACAACTTCAATTTCCAAAATGGCTACGGATTTTGCAGAGAATGAACTGGATCTGTTTAGAAAGGCTGTAAGTAGAGTAATCCCCATCGCCCATTGGCTGGGCTTCTTATGGGAAAGTTCTGTCTCAGTCGTTAGAAGTGGCAACTGCAGTCTTCAAGGATCACTGGGGGGACATGGGCCACCATTGCTGTCTGAGGGAAGGCTTTGCAGGGAGATATCACTGTCTACCCATCTGGAATTCACAGCTGTCAGGGGCCCCCATGGCTGCCTGGGAAGGAAGTGCTGGGCCAGGTGTGAGCCCTAGCTGGATGGGCAAGAGCAGGACCTCACTGGTAGTAACAGGCGTTCCTACCTGGCTGCTGTAAGTGCCATCTGGGAAAGGCAGCAGCAGCAGCAGCATCGCCTGGGAGCTTGTTATAAAGACCTGGTCCCAGTCCCTACCCTAGACTGCTGAGTCCGAATCTGCATTTTTGCCAGGTGCCCACTGAATCATTTGCATGTGCACATTTGAGAGGCACTGCTCTACCAGGCTTCAGAGCTACCTGCTCGGCCCTCTGGTCAAACACATAGCTAAGAGTGGTTTTCAGGCCTACATAACTGCAGAGGTGAGAAAGAATTCAGACATTTCAGCCCCACTTGCGATCTGTCGAATCCGAATCTCTGAGAACCAGGCGTTGGAATCATTCCTTTTAGGTCTTCTCCTGGGGCTTATTAGCTGCCGGGGTTGAGGAGCAGGTGCTGAGCTGAGCACACATCTGCGTGTGCAGGAACCTGTCTTCCCCAGAGGTTCCTGCGTGCCGTGTCTGTCTCTCGCTGCCTCTGAGGCCAGCCGTGAGGCAAGGTGACCCTTTTTGATTTGGGGACATTAAGATGATTTATTTGGGAGGATGTTATCGAAGTGACCTCTGAGTCAAAAGAACTGAGCACAGTCCTGACTCTTGATGCATATTACATTGTTTTCCCAGAATACCATGCCAGTGTGCAGTTCTGCCTGTGATCTGGGTGGTTTTACTGCACCCCTGCCAGACTTAGTATTACCATTTAAAAGTTATTTTTGCCATTTTAATAGAGAAGCATGGTACCCGCTCTTTCTTCCAGCTGGAACTAATTATTGACTCAGAAACTGGCTTTGCGTCTTCCACAAACATTTTGAACCTGGTTGATCAACTTAAAGGCAAGAAGATGAGGAAGAAGGAAGCGGAGCAGGTGCTGCAGAAGTTTGTCCAAAACAAGTGGCTAATTGAGGTACTGTCTCATGGTTTTCCAGTCCGGCTCACTCTTTCGAGTGAGTAGCAGTTTTGTCTCCAAAATCGTATTTGTAGCCAACTGATGTCTGTGGAGCCCAGCCTTCTCAAGATCCCTTATCTGCTTTCATGCATTCCAGCAGTGACCCTGTGGGGAGGATTTGGGCCTCACCTCTCCTGCCTCCCACTCCCTGTTCACCCACATGATGTGTTGAGGATGCCACAGCCAGAATGGCAGAGCCAGGAGCTGCACCCGGCATTTGGGCCCTGGGACCAAGCCTCTAGCCCACAGCCTGCAAGGCAGAGCAGTTCCGTGGCTGAGAGTGTGGCTGTGATGTCTGACCCGGGTCTGAACCCTGAGCCAGGTGACCTCAGCTTCCCTGTAAGAGGGGAGTTGTCATTTCCCCTTTGGGGCTGGGTGTATCGGGAGCAGGAATCGGACCTCACAGTAACGCGCTCCGCGCTGCGCTGGCTGGCTCGTGGGGGAGGCAGCAGAGGAATTGGCGACATTACCACTGTTGTTTTTGTCAGCAGTGAGTTCCTCAGGGTCAGGGCTTAGAAGAGGCACAGACAAGCTTTAGGAAAGGAGCTATGACGTCTGGGACAGGCCCCACGGCAGCTCCGGTTGCTAGATGCTGCCCCGCCCCCACGTCTAGTCCTGCTGAATGGAGCAGAACAAATGTTTCAGTTCTTCTTCCACAAAAGGCACCCCTGTTTTCAACAGCTCAGTGTTTGCTGAGTTGACCATAGCTGTGCTCTCCCAGGTGCTCGTGCCCATGTGTGTTGAGGACGCGCTCACGTCGGGTCCCCGCTTCCTCACTTGGTGGTCGGACTTGTGGCCAGAGGCTGCTGCTTGTGGCTGCAGCGATTCTCCACTTCCTTTTCAGGAAGGCTTGCCTCCGGGTTGGGGAAGTTTGTGTTCTGAGTTACTAATTTCTGTGTAGGGTGGGCCTGTACCAGGAACCTGACCCAAATTCAGTTCCTGGGGTACCTGATGGGAAGGAAGGGTGGAGAGGTCATGGGGTGAGGGCAGAGGTCACGGGGTGAGGTCAGGGCTGGGAGCTCCTGGTGAGTGCAGGATCTGCTGGGCACATTCCCGTATGTCCTGTCTCGGAGGCTGCCTGCTGTCCTGCAGTGGATCCATAGCTTAGTTTTTAGCTGACAGCTCAGGGGTCTGGATGACATCGGACACCCTGAGAGTGGCAGGGCCGAGTTCAGGCCCCAGTTTGGGGACTGCAGCTCCCATCAATGGCTTTGTCACAGTTTTTCTCGCCCTCTGGGCTGTATTTGGTACTAGAGAATGTTCTAGGGCTGCTCAGGTTATAACTGACCATTCTCGCTTGTGGTGCAGCCCCTCTTAGGGCCAAGATTTTTTTTCTTTTTTTTTGAGATGGAGTTTCGCTCTTGTTGCCCAGGCTGGAGTGCAATGGTACAATCTTGGCTCACCACAACCTCCACCTCCTGCTTCAAGTGATTTTCCTGCCTCAGCCTCCCAAATAGCTGGGATTACAAGCATGTGCCACCATGCCTGGCTAATTTTTGTATTTTTAATAGAGACGGGGTTTCTCCAGATTGACAAGGCTGGTCTCAAACTCCTGACCTCAGGTGATCTGCCTGTCTCGGCCTCCCAGAGTGCTGGAATTACAGGTGTGAGCCACTGTGCCCAGCGTTGGGCCAAGTTTTTTAAGGGCAGGGGTTATGACCTCTTCATGGCTGGTTCCCATTGCAGAATCTAGTGCCTGGCACCTCAGGCGCTCAATAAATGCTTGCTGATTGGGTGACTGAACGGGTGGATGAGGTTACAGAGGAACAGAGTTTAAAACTTACAAAAAATGTTACAGGAAATACCTGTTCATTATAGGAGGATTAGAACATGTCAAGATGCATAAAGAAACCCACTGAAGTCACCTGTTATCCCAGCCCCTAAAGCCAAGTGCCTCAACATTCCATTTCACAACACTTTGCAGCCTGCTTTGCACCCAAGAGCATGCGTGCCCAGCACACGCCACCACCATTGTGCCTGGCTCGCAGGGCGTGCCCCCAGCTTTATGATTTGGCTTGCCCTTTGTCTGCCCTTGGTGTCTGGAGAGGGCTGTGGTGGATAGGAGAGGCACCGCCCTGGAGTCTGTGGGGGTGAGCTGTGGCTGCAGGCGCTTGTACTCTGTGCCTTTCTCAGTTCGGTGACAGTGCTGGCACCGCCTTCTGCAGGGCGCCTCTGAGCTCGAGGGAGGGTGGACAGAGGATCCGGGAGCTGCCACCTGCAGGAGCGCTGCAGAAGTAGCAGGGGGCCCTCAGCACTGGTGCTGGGCAGTCGCCCTGGAGAGGCTTCTTGTTGACTGCCTGGCCTGCTGGGGCCCTGAGGAGGACGAAGGAACAAAGCTCATGTGGCAAGGGCTGTGTAGTGAGACTCCTCCAGGTTCCTCCGCCGCCTATGGCAAGCAGCTTCTTGTTGCAGAGACTGTTTCATCTGTAGGATGGAGATGTTGCCAGCTCCAGGTTTCTGTGAGGGTCCAGTGCTCTCTGACCTACATGGCCTGGTAAGGGTTGCCCTGAGGTCTGTGGCACTCTGGAGGAACCGCTGAGAACAGGGGTGGGGTGCTCACGTACCCAGGACAGGTCTTCCTAGGGCAGCACCTCGATCAGAGACCACACGTCAGCGTCTGATCCTTGGCTTCTCAGACACAGGGCTTCCCACAGAAACAGCCAGGGGTCCACTGCCAAGGCCCTTCCAGGTGGGCATATCACCCCAAGGACATGTCACTCCTGGACAGCCAGTCCTGTGCGAGACTGGCTCAGCATGGAGGTGCTGAGGCAGCTGCCAGTCCAGGAGAAGGCCCAGGGGTGGTGGGTGGTTGGGGTCAGCGGGGAGGCCTCTGAGAGCAAGCGCAGCTCATGGGAGCTGGACGTCTGCTGACGGACGCACCTCCATACACCCCAGGACTGCTCCCTACAAGAGATCCTGACTTCCAAGTGTCGTGGCGAGGTGCCTGGGAGATTGCCTGGGCTCTTGTCTTCTCTGAGGGCTAGGGCACCCCTCCTACCCCTCCCCTGATGGGCCCGCAGAGGACTGAGTGGGTCATGAATGGTGAGCCTTGGGTGCAGTTTCAGGCGCATAGTAGGTGTTCAGTAAATGCAGCTTGGCTGGGCACAGTGGCTCACACCTGTAATTGCAGCACTTTGGGAGGCTGAGGCAGGTAGATCACTTGAAGTCAGGAGTTTGAGACCAGCCTGGCCGACATGGTGAAACCCTGTCTCTACTAAAAATATAAAAAATTAGCTGGGTGCGGTGGCGGGCACCTGTAATCCCAGCTACTCAGGAGGCTGAGGCAGAAGAATCGCTTGAACCCTGGAGGCGAAGGTTGCACTGAGCTGAGACCATTGCACTCCAGCCTGGGCAACAAGAATGAAACTCTGTCTCAAAAATAAGTAAATAAAAAAATAAATAAATAAATGCAGCTCCGGCCTCAGTCTGAGCTTGGACTTGCTTACAGTGTGAGGCATTCCTGTGGGATCAGTGCAAGGTCTACTGCATCTTCCTGTGGGCCTGCCAAGTGCTGGGCCCCACAGCAGGTGCTGCGGACACTGGAGTGAGCGAAACCAGAGCTGGTGGCCGCTCCCACAGGGCCATGGTCCGGAGGGAGAGCCCAAGAGCAGTGAGGCGGTCATCCCACTGCAGTCCAGGTACAGATGGAAAGGAAACATGGCTTTATGACAGCTGTCCCAGAGGAACTGGCCCTCAGCTGCCGAGTGACACTCAAGCTGAAAGTTGTGTGGGAGTTGCCTGGAGCCTGGGGTGGGAGGATCATCAGCCCAGCAATGGCCCTGTGGCCAGTGAGTGCGCTCAAGAAGCTAAGGCCAGGGCCATCTGAGCACAAAGATTGCTGGGGAGAGCAGACGAGGGCAACCCGGGAGATACATGCATTACGGGCTTGGCTCTAGGACCTACGGGTGGTGGGAAGCCCTCGGGCGGGGGTGAGGTGGGAGTGACAGGGCCAGGCTTGTTTTGTAGCAAGCGCATTGCTGGAGGAGAGCGGGCTCAGAGAGCTGCAGGAACAGGGGAGGGTGGAAGAGGGTGGAGGCTGGGGAGGTGGGTTGCCATGATGGATCTGGAGGAGGGTGGAAGGCGGCATCTGGAGGAGGGTGGAAGGGCGGCAGACCGGGATGGGAGGTGCCGGATGGATCTGGAGGGGAGGGTGGAAGAGGGTGGAGGCTGGGGAGGTGGGTTGCCGGTGATGGATCTGGAGGAGGGTGGGAAGTGGGCAGGACCGGGATGTGGGAGGTGCTGTGATGGATCTGGAGGGGAGGGTGAGGGTGAGGCCAGGGAGGTGGGTTGCCATGATGGATCTGGGAGGAGGGGTGGAAGTGCAGTGACCGGGATGTGAGGTGCCGGATGGATCTGAGGGGAGGGTGGAAGAGGTGGGAGGCCAGGGAGGTGGGTTGCCAAGTGATGGATCTGGGAGGAGGGTGGCGGCAGTGACCGGGATGTGAGGGGCGTGATGGATCTGGAGGGAGGGTGGAAGAGGTGAGGCCAGGAGGTGGGTTGATGGATCTGGAGGAGGGTGAAGGCGGCAGTGACCGGGATGTGAGGTGCCGTGATGGATCTGGAGGGGAGGATGGAAGAGAGTGGGAGGCCAGGGAGGTGGGTTGCCATGATGGATCTGAGAGGGTGGAAGTGCAGTGACCGGGAATGTGAGGTGCCGTGATGGATCTGGAGGGGAGGGTGGAAGAGGGTGGTAGCCAGGGAGGTGGGGTGCCGTGATGGATTTGGGAGTTTTGGGGAAGGTAACAGCCATGGGACCGAGGACCGAGGACTGAGGACGGCCTGAGGGCTGGTCACATCCTCCCATTGCCCACAGCACTTGGAGAACACAAAGCCCCTGTGCACCAACAGCCGTGGTGCAGGGCACAAGTGCCTGGTACCCTGGCCTCCCTCCACTGCTCCCGCAGCGGCTGTCCCTGCCCCAACCCCATGCCTCTGCCCTGCCTCCCTTCCTGTGCTTACCCAGCCCCGCTACTGGCGTTCCAGAGTGAATGCACTGCAAGCCCAGGTTATGCAAGCACACCCCCTCCACACTGCACCCTGGGGATGGAGGCAGGAATGGGGTGGGGGGGCTCTACCTGTCAGAAACAGGAGTGGGCCGGGTACGGTGGCTCATGCCTGCAATCCCTGCAATCCCTTTGGAAGACCAAGGTGGGTGGATCACCTGAGGTCGAGAGTTCAAGACCAGCCTGGCCAACATGGCGAAACCCGTGTCTCTACTAAAAATACAAAATTAGCCAGGTGTGGTGGCACACACCTGTAATCCCAGCTACTCGGGAGGCTGAGGCAGAAGAATTGCTTGAACCCAGAACACGGAAGTTGCATTGAGCCAAGATCATGCCATTGCACTCCACCCTGGGCAACAAGAGCAAAACTCCATCTCAAAAAAAAGCAAAAAACAAAAAAACAAAAACAAAAAAAACAGAAACGGGAATGACAGCTCTTGCTTGTAAAAATTAGAAAATAACAGGAAAGGCAGTTGAGCACTCGGGTGACTCGCAGGCTTCAGTGACGCCATCTCCTGGCGCGGTTCACGTCCGATGCATGAGCTGACTGGAGAAACTGGAATCAGCCTGCATGGGTCTGTGTCCTGGGTCCCGTGTCATTTGCCTCCGTTGGGGCTCCCTCAGTGCTGCCTCTCTCCTGTGACCTGGCAGGAGGGTCAGCCTGGGGAGCTGCGTTATTCATGTGCTTCCTGGTTCTCCCAGGGTGTTCAGGATGCATGATGGGTGACCGCACCCTGGCGTGGGAATCAGGAGGCCTGGCTTCCGTTGGAGGCTCCACTGCTCATGGTGTGATGGGGCCCGTCTGCCCTCTCCAGACTCCTTCCAGCTCCGTCTGTAAAGTGATGTGGCCGGAAATGATCTCTGAGGGTCCCTACTGCAGTTGGAGGCAGAAGTGCTGGGAGGCACCGGGGATGCTGCTTTTTGGGAGTGGGATGGGTGGCGGATGGAAGCAGTGGGTGCTCGGGTTTGTGCCCTGGGGAGACTGACCCCTTGTGGGCCTCAGCGTCCTCATCTGCAGGAGGGCTGTGACTGCCTCGCTCAGGGCTGCTCTGCAGACAGAGCAGTCACGTCTGAAGGCACAACAGGTGCTGAGAAAAGGCGGGTGTCGGGGAGCTGTGCCTCCATGCCTTTTGGGCCTTTGCCTCAGTTTCCCTTGCTGAGGCTCTGCCAGGGAGACGTGGCTGATGCCCGTTGTCTGGGGTTGGTGCAAAGCTGCCTAGACCCTTGTGTCTTCCTGAGCACTGGGCTGTGGGATCACAGAGGGAATAGAGGTAGTGAATGGGGAGAGGGCCTGGCTGAGGGTGGCCACCTCCCGTGTGTCCCTGCAGAAGGAAGGGGAGTTCACCCTGCATGGCCGGGCCATCCTGGAAATGGAGCAATACATCCGGGAGACGTACCCCGACGCGGT